AAAAAAAAATATAATATATATATATATATATATATATATATTAAACCAAATGGTCTAACATTAAGGCTCATATTAGGCATACTGATTATACAATCATTTGTTATCACATATCATACCTTCAAATTGCAATATTGTTATCTAAAAGATTTATCTGCATAATAACCAACATTAAATAGTCGAATTTTGGTTAGTAGCAAAAAATTAGACTTAAAAAATAGACCTTTAATTTTTTTTTTTTTTTACGGAATGATCCTAGTTATATACTGACAAATGGGGAAAAATTACACAAGACAATCACTATCAGACTCACAAGTGAGGGGGCGTGTTAGAATATCACTTGTGAGTTGTCCCACATTGTTAATACATGGAAAATAGACCCACTTAATAAGTCTAATGGGTTACTCCTCCTTTCACCAATTGGTTTTGGGATGGAACCCCACTTGGGCTTCATATGGGCTTTCCATTTCTCCGAATTGACATGATATCAGACTCACAAGTGAGGGGGCGTGTTAGAATATCACTTGTGAGTTGTCCCACATTGTTAATACATGGAAAATAGACCCACTTAATAAGTCTAATGGGCTACTCCTCCTTTCACCAATTGGTTTTGGGATGAAACCCCACTTGGGCTTCATATGGGCTTTCCATTTCCCCCAGTTTCTTACAATCACTAAATCATCTAATGGATACAATAAAAAAGGTACACGAAAAAAAACTTAACGTGTTAATATTATCGACTATATGGAGTGTGTAAAATAACAAGAACCTATAAATAAGGCATCAAACATTTACAACCAAGCCAGATCACCTCAAAAACAAAACAAAAGTATTTGATACTCAACCCTAAACAACCACCATATCAACCAAAAGAAAAGCAAAACACAACAAACTTGTACAAAGCAAAACCCAAAAAACATTTTCAAACATAATTTGTTTTTTTTTTATTTAAATGTTGGAATTTTCATAATGTCCAACTCATTAGAAAAATCATCTTATATGCTATTCAACAAAACCTCCGATCGAAAATCAAATATATTGATCATCAAAAAATATAAATCACATTCTTTTTTTCCTTCGCACACGTACCTTATTTGTCGATTATTCACGAATCTATTATCATAAAATCGATAAAATCATACCTCATTTTATTTGTGCAATCATAGTAAATACCTTAAATCGAATTTAAAGTTTACTTCATAATTCATTATTTATTAAATTGTATATTTATTTATTTTTACCAGGGTTTTTAGATGTTAATTTTGTATATTTTATAAAATTGTACGTGGCGAACTTTAAAAAAAAAAAAAAAATTGTTACTCCCTAAATTATACGTGAACATGTATAATTGCCATTTAAATAATAGTCGTCGTCTGATCGTCTGACGACAGACGAGTCATAAAAAACCTAGATCAATTACAGCGATCCATATTTTCCCCAATTCTTTTCACCAAAACCCATCAATCGATAATCAGTCTTCCATTGATCGACCTACCGATCACAGCAATGGAGAATCCCAACGGCGCTTCGTACTACGAGAAGGTGGACGGCCTCGCGCGGTGGTTCGGCATGAACGTGGCGGCGGCGTTCTTCGCCTCCCTCGAGCGGTGCTCGTGCGTCAACCTCACCACCTTCGACACCGACGACGACGGTGAGGAGGAGGCCAAGGATCGGCCTCTGATGCTCACCTCCTTCTCGTCCATGAACTCCACCGCGTCTTCCTCTTTGTTCTCGGCTAATCACAGCGGGAATGCGGAAAATTCTCCAGCCGGTGTTGAGAATCTGCCTGTCTGATCGCGATCTCGATTGTTCGTCTCTCAATGATCGGTAAATTTTCCTTCTTTAATTCTCTGTTTTCTTTTTACTCTTCGTGTTTTTGTGTGATCGTGTTTGTTGTTGTTGCTTATTTTGTAATTTTAATTGAAATTGAATTCCTCATTCAGGTAATTGTTGTGTTAACAAAGCAAATGTTTTCATTTTTCCCTATTGTGGATGTGTTTTTTGGTGATGGCATTTACCCCCAAGATTTGAAATTTTATTAAGATTTGTAAAACTTAACAATGCAAATAATGTATTTGAGATGAGGGGTTGCTGAATATGTCTGATGGTTCTATTTACAGTGTAGGTTAGGCTTATTGATGTATGGGAATGTGCTGTGTCTGTATATGATGCATTATGGAGGAAATGAGAAGGATGTATAGTGCTTTGAACAGTCTTGGTTTTTAAGGAAGTAAGACAATTGTTGTGTTTCGAATTGTCTTGAATTTGGGAAAATGAAACGATATAAGTACATTCCAGTTGGCCAATAACTTTTGTTAAATTGTCTTGCTTGTCTTACAATTTTATGGAACACCAAAACTCATTATTAATAAATTGGGCCTGCCAGCTTTCTATATAAACCTTCGTTGCCAGTTGGGGATTCCAAGATATAAAAGAATTCACTCGGTCTAAAAAATATTAGTCTAGCGGCTACTATATTAGAAATTCTTCTGCAAAGTTTACTTATGTAGACGTGTTTGGTTGCTGAGAGGAATGATAATGAGCATGTTATATGAAGATAACTATCTAGCTCCAGGAAACTGGAGTCTGCCACCTCTGAGAATTTTCCAATGTTCAAGTTTTTGTAGTCTAGAGCTTGATTTTTGTAGCTGAAAACGTAACGGAAATGAAATCGAAAAGCCTTCAAAATGGAAGGTTTACTTCACGGAGATGATTCATATTGGTGTTCAAAATATTAAAACTTTGTTTAGGGGTTAAATTCTGAAATTCACTTTAACTTTTTTTTTCTCTTCAAAATTGAGATGTGACCACAAAGTTAGTTGTCATTTTATTTTCTATGCTGGACCACATGTGAAAATTAAGAAACATATCTGATCTCATTTCTGAGATAACATTCAACCCCACTTCTCTAGGTTCTTCATTGTTATTTTGTCTTTCCAGGAATTGTCGTTTATTGATTGGGTCTGTCCTTTGAGAATATGTGTATAGAAACTATCCAGTGACTCTTTTCAGTTTCTATCTTGTTCATCCTAAAATGGTTAGCAGTAGCACAGCACACTCGTGAACCTGTATTGATGTCGTGTTAGTTATACTGAGCTATTAATTCTTTTCATTATTGAACACACTCTCTACACCACTAGACAGCCCCCCTTGCCCCCAAAACAAGAAAGCACTGAACTGTTATAGTTTGGCCCCTGGCAATCTTCATTTGTAACGCACATTGGAAGAATGGAACTTTATTCTGTTTTTCTCCCCACGATTGAAATGACCGCTAAACATTACTATAGGTTCACCTATGATCAAGTTCTACTTAAAGTTCTTATAATTTGCAACTTCTACCATGTTAAAGGCAAGATAATATGGTAACAACAATTGGTTTAGCTACGAATGCTGTAGGCTATTTGCAGGTATATAAAACTTAGAATGCTTCTAGACCACATTGCATATTTTCTTCATATACTTTGATTGATCTTTATAATTATCGGTTGAGGTCGTTGCAAAATGTATCAAATATATGTGCTCTTCTGCACGCATGAAGCTGGATGCGTAGGGATCTAAGATTTTCTGAGCATATTTTTTTATGAATTCGCTATTTTATGAACTAGTTTGGGACATAACATGCTGAAGTTAGACTTTGGTTTATTTTTCAGCTTATAGTTTCTGGCAGGTGAAGTTTAGAACGCGAGCTTGTGAAGACAGGGACGTGAGTGTGAACTTCATTTCATTTTCCTTTTCTCTTTGTCTTTTGATGTTCAATTTCTATACTATAGTACTAGAAATACATGTGATTTGCATGGTTGTAAGAGGTTGATTGTGCTATGTACTTGGAGATACTGTTGTACCATAACTCATACTTCGAAAACTATTTGCTGGTCATGATCGAATGAAGCAAATTATGCTTAGCTGGCGCTTAATCCCTTTTAGGCAAAGATTTACCTTCGCGGAAGGGATGTTTTTCTCATCCTTCCCTATGCTCACTTATTTTGTTTGTTTCTTCCAATAGTGTGCTATATTTCACTACTGCTACCTGTTATAATTTCAAATCAGTAACACAATATGTGAGCAAATCTGATTTTGTATTATTATTGTTGAACTTATATGAAGCTTAAACAGATGAATTTTCTCATGGAGGTGTCAATTTTCAGCCGGTACGAATTTTTGTCGAGCTTGGGCTAAAATAAACTCAAAAATGTTCTGTCCTTGGATTGGGCTGTAGATTTTGCACTGGCCCGACTGGCTCGAGCCCCACATTTTAAGATCTAATTAAATTCTGTTGTGCCGTAACGGCCCTAGGTCCCCCGGGGGCCCACAATATCCTGAAACTGATAATGTAAAATGTACCCTGGAGAAAGTTGAAAAACCGCGTATCATCAATATCCCCGAACGGTCTCTGGGGCCCCATAAAATAACATTTCAAAGGCAACTGGAAAAAAAAAAAAAAAAATTAATTAAATCGTCAGATTAATACACAGACGCCCACAAATGTGTATATGAGTATGATCCAACAGCTTAACAGCTAAACTATTAGCCACCACACAAATATGTGTGTGAGTACGTGGCTAAAATTTCAATCATATTCACCCACCAACACAAACTAGTATAATAAATGTGTACAACTCGAGTGTTGAGTTAATAAATATATAATAAAAGTTATCCCTCCTTATATATTAATTCAAAACATGTTGAGCCTAGGTGGCAAATTCTCACGCTTCAAATGTTGGCATGGCGAAAATCTATGCTTTGTGATGTTGTTTTTATATTATTTTTGCTCTGGAGTTAGGTTTGGTATTAGATATAAATAACTTTACACATCCTCCCTATATATAATTCCCGAATGCGTTGAGCCTACGTGGCTGTTTCTGGTGCTTCGGAATCCTACTTGGCGAAGAATCATGCTTCGTAGTTAGGTTTGGACAAATAATATTGATATATTAATAATTAATAATCTAGGTTTGGACATTCCATAAATATTATTTATTTAACTTAGGTATTTTAATATCACTTTTACTAATATAACCCTTTAATTCTTTGTGATTTTACATAGTCAGACACTAAATGACTAATATATCCCTGACTTTTGATTTGCTTCCACAATTAGCTATTGAATTGTAAATGTATTTTAAAATTTGATAACTTTTGTATTTCTTATCGGTTTTACATATATAATATATCAAATTAATCATCTTTTGATGATCTTCGATTTGACATCCATATTGTATATATGAAATAAATAAATTATATTTATCTTTATAATAATAAAAAATAATAATTTATAGAAAAATAAAATTATTTATTAATTGATATATTTATGTTCAATGTAGTTATATGTTGTAAGTAAAAAAAATTATGATAATATAACACATGTAAGTGGTACAAATAAAACTGTCATACTAAATATATAATAATATATATATTTTTATAAAAGGTATTTAAATTTTCAATTACTTTTTCTCATTATTAGATTTTAAGAAAAAAATTAGCAAACACCCGTGTAATACACGGGCGTTGTACTAGTATATTCATTAACTCAAAACTCATGTTGTACAAGGATATTAGTAATAGTTTATGTTTAATACCAAAAATTAACTCCAGAGTAATAATAATACAAAAACATCACGAAACATAAATTTCCGTCATATCAGCATTCGAAGCGTAAAAAACAACCACTTAAGCTCAACACGTTTTGTATTAATATGTAGGGACAGTTTTTCTATAAAATCATATGGTTGGTTTCCTTATGGAACTAACCACCAATGGGACAACTCCACATGGGGTTGTCCCACATTACTTTCATGTGGAACAGCACCAATGGGACAGTCATGTGGGACAGCTTCATGTGGAGCTGTCCCATTGAACTGTTGGTTCCATAAGAAAACCAACATCGGGTTCCTTAGCAAAATTGTTATATTATAGGGAGGGATATGTATGAAACTTTTCCTATTAAAGCCTGGTGAAAGTGAACTAAGTCAGTTCCTTTTATTATTTTTCTTTTAAAATAAAACAAAGAAACAATCTTTTTTTCATCGAGATCACCATAGTGAATCTGTGTGGACTGGAAATGGAGATTCGTGAAAGACGGAAATATCAACAGGAAAAGGAAGAATCAAATTGACAGTACAACAAAAAGAAAGTGGTTAAATTGTGTACAAAACTAAAACCATCTATCTACATATAGTCAACCAAAATTGATACAAATTTTTCATCAAAATCCACTAGGGTTTTGTCACAGAAACTCCTGAGCATGAACATAGCTTTGATAAGGTAGCTTGGATACAATACAAAGAAAACAAAAAAAAGTAAAAGAAAAATCGACTGCCGGCAGATCTTCATCGACAGCTTTAACCACCGGGCCACGAGACAAATTTCGATGCGGAATAGGGGCAATGTAGTCAACTAACACTTTTCTTTCACCTCAAATTACCAGAAGTTGTATATATATTCAATCAAAGGGGGCAACTGTCCCTGCCACCCCCTTCATAAAAATGGCAGACAAAATAACTCAATTATTCAAAGGCATATTGAGAAGTTCATTCCCCACAACCCTTTTTCTAAATCAAATTTGCACCTCAATTTCACGTATGGAAGAGAATAACCGATGTCCCACGAGCCTCCTCAGGATTCTTTTCCGAACACAAGATTTGAATAAAATCGAAGATTTTACATACACGGTTGTAAACCGGGCAATAACCAGATTAGAACCCTATATTAATAAGGCAAACCTCACCATTCTTGCTCGTTCGGCCCCTCGCTTAGCTGTGTGTCCTTTGCTCATCCGAAAAAATTCAAAGCAACTTGAAGAAATTCGGCGGGACCCATTTCTTCACAGCTCCTCTCTAGATAACACAATTTAATGAATGGAAGGGGGGTCCAATAGTCCTTGATGAGAGATCCCAATTTCGATACACTGCCAAAACTACCTTTTTTTCTTCTGCCAGCCTATCGTGCAATGAAATCTTGAAATCGACCCATGAAGCACGAACATATCCAATTTCAAGAAATGATTTTTTTTTAAAAAAAAAAATTCCCTAGACCCGTATCATCCTAAACGGGCGCGGGTAACCCGTAGTTTTGGAAAGACTTGATCCGCCCATCCCATCCAGCTGTCACGATCACTAGGCCCCAAGCATGAGAATTGGACGAGCTCTCACATGAAGTTTTAAATAATTTATACTGTGATCTTCCCAAGGAGGATGATTTTGTAGATTTCGGGCTCGAAACGTACACGAGCTTCTCTTCGGGCCAGGTGGCAGTCCCCTTTGACCCAGCATCCATTAGGAACTCTTGGGTCAAAGAGAAATGAGTGGAAGAAGAGAATGGCAGCGAGTTAATCGTCTCTTGGAGTATGTTAGACTTCAAGCCGAGCCACGGTAGAGCAATCGAGGCTTCGGTCGAGAAGCACTCGAAGGAATTAATCACTTTCGGTGAGTTGGACGATTGATCTTCATAGTTCCATATGTAGACGCTCGAGTCTTCGGATGCTGAGATAACATGCTTCCCGTCAGACGTGAACGAGGCAGAGATTTGGTTGCCTGCCTTGCGAAAGCCTGGCGAAAGAGAACTTTTTTTTCTGTTACTAAATTGAGTAAAAATTGCGAAGTAAAAAAAAAATACAACCAAAAATGGAACTTTCGGTTCGAAAGCATATATATATACCTTTGTACTTTCCGATAACATTCAGACCGTCTATAATTCTGACGTGCGCATCAGCACAAGTCACCAAAACTTTGGTCGGGTCTTGTGGTAAAAACTGCAATTCATATTAACAAGAGATTATGAAAAGTTAATAAGGTGAAAGAAATTATCCATCTATTAAAGTGAGGTGAACATGTTACCTGAAAGCCGGTTATTCTTTTGCACGGTGACTTCTTATTAATTAAGCACATCTGGGTCTCCAAATGGAAATGATTATCTGATACAACCGAAAAACGGGGAGAGAAAAAAAAACAGCCATTTCAATGTGAACATAAATCGGGCAAAAAATGACCAGACACAGCATTTTTAGTGCTTAAACGGGACAGATAGTTTACAGTAGGCATCCAAATGATCAGACATTCAAATAAAAATACAAGCATAAAACTGAGACTAAAAAAAAAATATCGAAATAAATAAACAGCAACTAATACCTGATGCGCTAAAGAAGTAACATGTGCCACCAATTGAACCAAAAACCCCACTCTGCATAACAAGCAAATGAAGAAACAATTAATCACCGTAAACGGATTAACAAGTCGAATAAAATTGAATAATATTTGAAGTTTTTGATTATCAACACACCTGCCCATCAGGTCTATAAGAAACAGCTGTGATTATATCCCTTGTTTCTACCCAGTCCACAACTTGACAGCCATTGATGGTCCATATACGAACCTTCCCATCAATTGAACCACTTATGAAGTAATCATCATTTGCAGGGTTAAACTGAACACAGGTCACTGCATAAAGATTAGCACATGTGTGAAGCTAAATTGGTAAAATCGAAACCAAATTAGTGTGCAGAATTCTTGGTCCCATCCCAGAAACAAATTACAGAACTAATTACCATAGTCAGTATGTGAGAAGACCTTCAGGCACTGATCAAATCCAACTTTCCACAAACGAACAGTGTTATCAACTGACGAAGAAAGCAGACACTACACAAACAGAACAAGCACACAATGAGATTTAACTTAAATAACAAAACACACACAAAAAGGGAAAACGAAAGACATATAAAAATGATAATATCATAAACATACATTATCCTTCGACCACGAAAGATCCAATATATCGCCATTGTGCCCCTCAAAGACATGCAGCGGCTCCTCTAAAATCCGAAAAACCTTTGGAGGGAAGATAATACAGGCCGAATCCGTATTTTTTCTCAAACCCTTGAATCTACTACCTTTATCTTTCTCCACCATAAGAGGCCCCAATTCTGAAAGGCTGTTGATCGAAAAGTACACACACGAGGGATCATCATCGGGAATATCAACTGCATCATTCCTCTCATTCTCGATCACTTTCCACACTTTAACAACCATATCTTCACCAGCGCTAGCTAAATAGCATCCATCAAGACTAAACTTCATCGTCAGTATTGACCCCTTGTGAGCCTGGATATCTTGGCCCGTGAAGAGGCCCGAAAGCTCCTTCAGCTTTCTACTGCCATGACGGACCCTCACACGGCTGATCTTCCTCCCCTGCCCACGGCTAAGATTTTCGTCCTTACTGTTACTCTTCATCATACAAATCATGGCTTTCCATTTCCTTAGCCACTTGTTTTTTAATTTATCCCTCGTTCGAGGCGTGTAACAGCTAGCTTCGGTTTCACCCTCGGTGTGATTTTGATTAGACGCGGGGCAAAATTGGGCAACATTCTCTTGCACCAACAAGTCAGAATCATCAGTGTTCCAGCTCGATGCAGACGAGCGGCTGGATGAGAACTCGTACTCGAAACTCGAGGTTCTTAGCACAGTTCCATTTTTCTCCATAATTCTATCGACATCTCCCATAAAAGCACCATGATGATTTTCTCCTTCTAACCCATCTGGGCTCAAACCCATCAATCGAATAAATTTAATTCTCCTCTCCCCAACACTTTGGGGAACATTGATCCACACATTGTAATCCCAATTTTTCAAAGGATGGAAATTTGAGACCTGATCGGGTTCTTGAGTGATGTGCTCGAGTGCATCAAAGAAATGGCTTTCTTGGTCGTCCTCCTTGAAGCTATCCATGATTTCTTCAGTTCATTAAGCCATGAATGAGTAAAACAGAAGGCACTGTGCAAAAGACCCAACTCTTTAGAACCTAGGCAATGTGCTCAATCCCCTCCAATATAAAACCTTTAAACAATACAGAGAGAACAGAGTTAATAGAATTCTTATTTAAAAAGACAGCTATAACTGACTAAACAAAAGTTACAAAACACGAGCACCACTGCAAAGGTTTTAGCAAAACTCTGAATAAAAAAATAATATTAACAGTTCCAGAAAGAGCAAAAGCATAAACTACTTCTGAAAAAACTATATAAAAAAAAAACACTAATTTTATAACTATTAGATCCAACATGGATCCCAATTTGCACCCAGTGAATCTGGTCTTTAAAAAAA